CTTTTCTCTATAAATAAAAATATTTATTTTATATTTCAGCTTTTATTTCTGCAATCCTATTCATATACCGAAAAATAAAAAAAAGAGTAGCTTTGTTTTTTGTTCGTCTCATATATATATATACATATTTATTTATATCTCTTTATTTTTGTTCAAAAAAATATATATTTATATATATATATATAAAAAGAAAGATTGATATTCATTAGTTTTTGAAGAAACATGAATGAATGCAGAAAAGGGGAAAAAAATCCTGAATAAAGCAAATAAAGAAATATTATTGATTTCTGATTAGCCATTGTATGGAACATGATATGCTGGTAGCCAAACCACCTTCTCTAGTAGCACCGTCGTCGTCGTCGTCCACTGTCAATTGTGCCATTTATTTAGAGGAGCTTTTCAACAACTGTGGAAGGACTCTTGTAACCCTTCATATCTCTAATTTGGACTTTGGCTTTTGAGTTTTAACAGTGTAATAACAGGCATGATAATCTTTCACTATTTTCTCTTCAATTTAAAAGTTAATTAATTTTTAAATTCAAGTTGTATCATTATTTTTATTATTACAATGTACCATACTAAACTGTACGCAGCATGATTAAAAATTTTAGTTAACATATAAAATATGATGTATAAATGTAAAGAATATAAAATGTTTGAACCATTATAATTTTAGTTTCTTATAAAATATTAAAGAATATATAATTTTATAGTTTATCATGGTATGCCAACAACTTAAAGAATTAAGTGGTCATCTCCTTTCAATAAAAATAAAAAATCATAAATTTAAATCGCATGACATGCAAGTGAGATATGAAATAAAAAAATGAGAGATGATTACTTCTCATTGTACAATCAAGATAAATAAATAAATATATATATATATATATATATATATAAGATTGATATTCATTAGTTTTTGAAGAAACATGAATGAATGCAGAAAAGGGGAAAAAAATCCTGAATAAAGCAAATAAAGAAATATCATTGATTTCTTTTTTTTTTTTTAACATATTTTGCAAGGGGTGAGTTTCGAACTCTACCCGGAAAGAGGAAAATACACCGGTGTGGCTAACGCCACTGGATCTCAAGGCCAAGTGCAAATATTATTCATTTCTGATTAGCCATCGTATGGAATATGATATGTAGCATGGTAGCCGCACCAGCTTTTCTAGTAGCACCGCCGTCGTCGTCCGCAGTCAATTGTACCATTTATTTAGAGGAGCTTTATCAACAACTGTGGAAGGACTCTTGTAACCCTTCATATCTCTAATTTGGACTTTGGCTTTTGAGTTTTAACAGT